CGGTGAAACACGAGTATAACGACCCAGGTGCTAAGAAGGAGAATACAAACAACTTCAGCCGCCTTGAACGCCCAGGGTATATGTGGAAGATTGTCTAGGAGTATGTCAGGCAGAGGAGGATACTTAGAAATATCTGGAAGGCGTTCGTGGGCTAGCACCATAGCAAAAGAGGAGAGCCCGAACACAAGGAAAGCATATAGTCCACTGGCTAAAACTTTCCAATGTTTTGTGTAGGACTCGACTTTGGCTTCATTGGTAGGTCTGCATTTGAAGAGCGTATGGAGGGAGGCCTTTTCTGGTTGTCCCTTCGCCTTGTTAGCGGAAACAAGTAGTGAGGAGCATGAAGGAGTAATTGAAACCTCATCATGACAACGAAGTTTACTGAGTGGCGACTCAATGGAAGAAGCAAATTCCAGGGACGGGATGGATTTTTCCGAGTTATTGAACACAGCTTGCCTCCACAAAGAGGCCAAACAGAGGAGTCGCTTGCGAAGACCAACTTTGGTGAATTCCAGCTCTTTCAGGTCATTCTCATTGAACATGAAAAAGGCGAGACCGTCAACTTCGTGATCGAGTAGGATTTTACAGGCTGAGAACTGTAGTCCTCTGTCGTTTAGCCATGTCGCCATTGCGGATGATGAATAGGCCAACAGAGAATCGGCAGCCAAATCGAATGAGCGCACTGGCTTGGATTTGGGCATATCCGAAATCTGCCAGGCCTTACTTAGCACAAATTACGCCCAGCTAAAATATAGAAATGTTTGAAATGCTCAATAGAGCAGGTGACAAAAACATGATTATTCGAAGATGTGTCGGATATAAAATGTGGTAGAACGATTGAAATGATTATATTTCAAAGTTTATTGAAAATTAAATGAGAAACTGGATTTTAAAGAGTCCTTAAGGAGGTTTCATTCCAAATTTTCATCTCGTGTATTCATAGGTTGAGCCACCAAAATATTAAAAAGATAGACCCTCATTCTGGAAATAGCCAACCTAGGCTTATTGTCCTCCAACTGCAATAACTACTGATCTCCAATTTATACCGAGTAATTTCGTAACTATCAAGCCTTGAGTAAGTCACTCTAGATCGCTTATCTAAAGACTGATAAACGAATTTCCTATGGTAAAATGATTTCCGTTGCTTATTACTTGGCCTTCCAACTCAGGCTTTTTCATCCGGGCTAGACTGGAGATTCAACATCACTTGAACTTCATCTTCACTCCCAATGGGTTTTGGAAAGCATTTATGTGTCGAGTAACAGAATAGCCAGTTCGACATACAGCCACGGGCACCAGTTGGTCGTAGCAGTTATAACTTTCAGTACAAGTACTTAACTAATAGTTAGCTTGGGGATGCCA